GAAAATATTTTTATCAAAAATTATCTTACAGGAGATTAGTGACAAAAATGACTAACAATTTCTAATATACCCTGCTCCATTCACTTGTGCGTACACTGCTTAAAATGACAGAATCCTTCAGTTTATAAGTGTATCTGTCCGTAGCTTGTTGATTTAACATAAATTTCAAAAAATATTAAATAAAATTTTGATATTTGTTTATTATATTGTTTTTAAGTAGTACTATAAATAACAATATTTCACAATCATGTAATGATTAAATAATTAAAACAGACATTCATTAATTAACTCTAACAATTAATAATAATAATATGATTTTTTGTTACTTTGACAGTACTAAAAGTACTAGTACAATTAAACTAAAGTACAGTTCATTTTTGCGTACGTATTTTTCATTCATGTCTTTGTGAATAGTACTGACACGGTAAATATTAATGATAAAAATTTGTCAATTAAACCTTGAAAATAACCATATAAATATAGCGACCTTAGTACAATAATTTCATCTAATTAGCATATTCAAATTAATATACTAATCAGCATAATGTTTGGAAAGTCTATTGCTATCCTATTTGCGGTGATGCTTGTCATCAGCATTGGTATGCATTTTATCGTTAAATTAAAATATATTTTAAAAACAATCTTTATATTTCATTATTAGTTGCCGTCGACAACGTGGCAGCTGGTGGTGGTGGCCATGGATCAGGTGGTAGTTCCGGTAGTTCCGGTAGTGCCAGTTCTGGCAAACATGGCGGCTCCCGGGGCGGTGCAGCTGCTGGTGGTTCCGGTGGGCACAAGGGTGGATCGGGAGGCCAATAAATGCAAATGACCTGCTTGAATCTGATTTTGATTTTGTTTTAAATATGTTGTTGTTAAGTTTTCTCTTTATAAATTCAATTTGAACTTTCATTGTCAAAATTATACCCTTTTTAAATAGTCTGGCTTATTTAAATAATAAATACTCTTTAAAATAGTAGCAATGCAAACCGAGTTATTTTTTAATTTTACAACTTGATATTATAACAGTATTAAATGTTTAAAAATTATTATCGTTCACAAAATACATTATTGATAAATTATCAATTTAATTATTTTTAATTAAATTTACTTTGATCAAAATAATTTAAATATTACTATGTAAACATTATTTCTATTTATTTAGATCAATATGACTGACAAATAAAACTTTTAAGAATATTTTGAAATATTATAATTTATAAAAATTATATTAAAATATATCAATAATTATCTCTTACAATTAATAATAATATCAATTAATATTTACATACCTTGATAAATCTAAAAGTGCTAGTACAATTAAACTCGGGAACTGTTCATTTTGCGTACACCAGTCACTTTAAATTATACTGTACTAACACGGTAAATATTAAAAATCTGTCAATTAAACCTTGAATATAACAATATAAATTTAGCGACCTTAGCACATCACTAAATATAATTAGCATAACTAAATTAATAATCTAATCAGCATAATGTAATAAGGAAAATCAATTTGTATCTTATTACTAGTGATACTAGTCATTAGTATTGGTATGATTTTTAGCATTAATTTAAAATAAATTTTATAAAAATGTTTAATTTTTTCAATAATTAGTTTTCGTCGACAACGTGGTAGCCGGTGGTGTTAGCGGTACCCGGGGTGATAACGGCGGAAATGGCGGTAATGGAGTTGTAGTTTCAGCCAATGGTGTGGTTAGTGGTGGCTCCCGGGGTTGTAGGGGCAGTATTTTCAGGGGAAGCGAACATTAGATGCAAAATGACCTGTTTGAAAATAGTTGTAATTTTGTTTTAAATATACTAGTGTTAAAACTTTTATTTATAAATTACTATAAAGTTTTATTGTTACAATTATACTCTTTGTAATTCGTCTGGTTTGTTTAAATTTTAAAACTAATCTTTAAAACCCACCCCATTAATATTAACAAAATATTTTCATAATGACCTGGCTCATTTAGGTCTATTAACTAATTTGTCTCATTATTATGGTCTCATTATATTGTCAGATTTTAGTGTATAAATAACTTACAGTATATGAATACATTCAAATTAAGCTATTTGTTATAAATTAACACTAGCACTAAAAAATATTTAATAAAATTTTTAAATATTTTTGTTAATTATATTTTTCAAAATAATATTACGCTATACGTATAAATATTATATATTGTGTGAATGCAGGTATATTGAATAAATAGTGGAAATAAAAACATTAAAATACTTTTGATTTTAGTACCACTAGTATTACTAGTTATTTAATCAGATTTTTTGCGAAACAATATTTTGTAATGTTCTCTAGATTTGTTTTAAAATATAATTTGCATTTTTTCTATTATATTAAATATTAGCTTTATAAACGCATAGAAATATAATTATTAATTAACATCAATTATGATTATATTTGCGATTTTATCAAAATAATTTACAAAGAAATAATTAGCTATTTTTCCTATTTGTTTAGATTGGACTGCTAGACTNAACAATATTTTGTAATGTTCTCTAGATTTGTTTTAAAATATAATTTGCATTTTTTCTATTATATTAAATATTAGCTTTATAAACGCATAGAAATATAATTATTAATTAACATCAATTATGATTATATTTGCGATTTTATCAAAATAATTTACAAAGAAATAATTAGCTATTTTTCCTATTTGTTTAGATTGGACTGCTAGACTAAACAGATTGTATGGACTGATAAACATATTTTTAAAAATAACTTGAAATATTTAAAAATTATAAAAAACAAATATTTTAAAAAATCTTATTAAAATAATAATTTTTCAAATAACTTTTACAATTAATAATGATATCAATTAATGTTTACATATCAATAAAGGTGTTAAAAGTGACAGTCTAAAAGTGCTACTGTAACTAAACCAAGGAAAGGGAACACAGTTTTATCACTGCATGACCTTTCTTGGAAATGGGGTCGTTCACTCAGTATATACACAACACAAAACTAGTTATAATTTGGGGAACAGTAGCCTAAAGGGAATGGGATGTAAATGGCCGTAACTATGACTTGCATTAAACACTCAATTTATTAAAAAGTGTTGAAATCTATGTCCACTCATTAATAATGTTACATAATTAGGTTAACCCCCACCCACTATAGATTTGTGAACGACCCATTCCCAAGAAAGGTCATGCAGTGATAAAACTGTGTTCCCTCTCCTTGAACTAAACTCAAGGACAGTTGATTCTTTTTGGATTAAACCTTGAGTATGGCCAATTAAATATGTGCAACTTTAGTTTAATGATTTTATTTAATTAACATACATAAATTAATACACTAATCATCATAATGTTTGGAAAGTCAATTGCTATCCTATTTGCGGTGATGCTAGTCATCAGTATTGGTCTGCATTTTATCGTTAAATTAAAATAAATTTTAAAAACAATTTTCATTAATTCATTATTAGTTGCCGGCGCTCGCAACGGACAAAATAGCAAAAATCGTGGCGCCGGTGGTGCTAGAGGTTATGCCCCTGCTAATGGAGGCTCCGCGGGTGGTAATAGAGGTGTTGTTATTAATGGTAATGGTGCTAATGGAGGTTTTTCTACTTATGGTAACGGTGCTAATGGAGGTCTTGTTATTAATGGTAATGGTGCTAATGGAGGTGTTAATATTGGTGGTAATGGTGCTAATGGTGGTACTGTTATTGTGGGTAATGGTGGAAATTTTGGAAGGGGTGGTAAACGTTAAATGTAAATTGATTTGTGGGGTTAACGTTAAGCCCAGTGGGACCCAGGGACCCAGGCTCTTACTATTTAATAAATTAATTTCTAAACAATATAATTATATTAAAATATTAGTAAATTTTACTAACTATATTATCTAGATAAGATACATAAATAATATAAAATTTTAAATATTTATTTTCATAGTTTTAATTTTATTTTATTATCACTGATTAAAATCTGTATTTAGATTTGTTAATAAATTATTAAATTTTATGATAATGTCATTAAATAAAAATTTATAATTTCCATATTATGGTGTATTACAATAATATAGTTAATAAAATTTTATTAATATTTTAATATAATTGTATAGTTTAAAAATTAATTTAATAAATATTGAGTCCCTGAATGCCTGTGTCCGACGGGATTTAAAGTCAATCCCTTGATTAGTAAAAAATAATTTCAATTTTGATATAAATATTGTAATTATTAAATTTTTTATATAAATTCAAATTTAATTATATTTTCAAAATTATTCTACTTGTAAATTCAATAAATATTTTTTTGAATATAATAGTAATATGATCAGCCCACTTTTTTTTATAAATTTCAAAATTTTAATATTGATCTTCAAAACTGTTTTCTCATTTATAAAATAACATAAATACTTGAAAATTACTTTTCAAATTGCAAATGACTAATGTAATTATTACTGTTTATTCAGATTTTAGTGCCAAACGCTTACAGATTATAATTAAGTTAGGTAGACAAGGATTTTTATGTAATTTTATTTAAATACTTTTATACTTTTCTATACTACCGTAATACAGTAGTCACCGACTAGATATATATTATTTTTAAAAATTACATTATTTTAATAACATACCAAACTTGGTTATGATTTACTTTATTTTAACAAATACATTTAAGTGCAATTGCTACAAGTACAAATCAATACTTAGGTTTACATGAATGAATATGTTAATTAGAGTAATAAATATGATATAAAATCAAAAATATAATTAGTATTTGTAATGTAATTTTTGAAAATGTCAAAAATATTTATTTTTTTGTTTGTAGTATTAATAGCTATTAATTACGGTATTTATAAATTAGTTATATTTTTATAAATTACAAAATAATTAACATTTAATTTTAATTTAATATCATAGTATTGAGCGCCGGTAGTCAAAGGAAAAGTGGTACTAATAATAATAAGCAAGCTAATAAACAACCTAATAATAGTCCTGCAAATAAGCCTGCCAATAATAAATCCACAAATAATAAGCCTGCTCATTCTACTATTAGTAATAGCCCAGCTAATAATAGTCCAGCAAATAAACCTGCTAATAATAAATCTTCAAATAATAAACTTGCTCATTCTACTACCAATAATAGCCCATCTAATAAAAACTCAAATATGCCTGCTAATTTAAATAAAAAATTTGGTGCTAGTGGTAACAACATTAAAGGTGCCAGGTTCGCCCAACCATATGGACATACACACGCTAATAAGCCTGGTACCCATGATAACACGTTTGGCCAGGCTATTCACCGTGCTGTTAAACGCAATCACTAATTTATAAAATAATTATATGTTTATTAAAATAAAATAAATATTGTTTAATTAAAATATTTTGTTAATTTTGCTTAATTATTTATTAATGTTATATAGTTATAAATTTATTTAAAGAATTATAAAAAGTTATTTTAATAATATTGTTGGTTCCATTAAAATTACTTTTTATATTGTATACTATAGTCTAAATTAATTATTGTAATATTTAACTGTACTAACCATATTAATAATATAATAGGTCGTGATATAAGTAAATAAATATGAATATACAGTAGATATAATATAAGATTAAAAACAATGTATTGTTTTAGATTTTAACTTAATGTGTTTTAGTGCAAATCAATTGATGTACTATACACAGTACATATCATAATAGGAGTAATATAATAATTATTTAATGTACTAAACCAAATAATTTGTCTATTATATTATAAATATAAATGTCCTTTTAATAGCATGCAACTATTAAAAATTCTACTATAAATACTACACAAATTATAATTTATTCATTAAATTTGTTAAACAAGCTTGTTAAAAAAAACTTGCAAAACAATGAACAAAACAATTATACTGTTATTACTCGTGGCAGTGGTATTCACTATTGGTATGTAATATAAGACATATTTTTAATTAACATTTTTTATAAGCCTGCTACTTTATTTTACTAAATAGTGGATGAGGCTACATGTTTTGATAGTGGAAAGGCTGCTGAATTTAAAAACAAAATAGCCGAGAAAAAGGAGGAGGTCAAAGGGTACGTGGAAATGGGCAAGGCGGCTATCAAGGAGAAAATGGGCAGCATGGGAAGCAAACAATAACTAAACTTGATCATTGCAAATTAAATAAAGATTTACTCCATAATAATAAATAAATAAATATTTTGCTGAGTTATATAAAAATGTTTTAATTATATAATGCCACCAACAATTTAATTAATTCATAATGTAGTAATTTCTGCTTTAATTGTATTATGCTAAAGTATTTTATGGTGTAATCTATTTGGTATTATTTTATTAAAGTATTTGATTATTTTATAAGCATGTCTTTTTCAAAGATAATGTGTCTAGCAACCTTATCAATATACCTTTGATGACATTTAAAATAATATGTTGTCATTAGCTGTTCACTGGTTTTTAATACAGCATTATTATTATTATTTAAGAATATTATATAAAATAAATGTTAAATATT